TTTACCAGGATTACAGTGAAGTTGTTGCTGTGATCAGTGAAACCACACAAAACATTTTCCCCATTTTGAGAAAAGTTTCACAAATTTGATCCCCCTGAAAGCTCTAAACATGAACCACAAATCCAAAAACACAGAGAGGAAGTTTGATCACAGCCTTTACATGAAGTGTCTCTGCTGTTGACTAACTTTGCAGGTAGCGCGGTTAAACCCAGGAACCGGAGGATGCGGCTCGCCTCTTTCCGCCTGAGCACGCCGGTGAACGGAGCCTTTTCATTGGACGGCTCCGCTGAACGCTAAAAAAAGGGGCGTGAAGTTTTGGTGCTAGCAGCTAGCTCCTGTGTGATCATCTGGGATCTGTTTCATTCTTTGGCGGCGCCCAGCAGGAGAGTCTGTAGAGTCGGTGGGGGATATTTGCAGCAGAGCCGGTTTACTTACTTACTTCTGTGAGCCGCGGTTGCTTTCAGACACACGGACTTGAGATGGAATGATGACCCGGCCTCTCTCTCTGGACATGGCATAGTGGCTACTGGCGTTGATGCTAACTTAGCTGGTTAGCTCCCGAGGCTAGGTAGCGTTGGTTGTGACTGGACCAACTAGCTAGCGTTGAGCACAATACTAGCTTGCGTTAGCTAGCAGGTAAACTCGCGTTATGAGACTTACTTAAAAAAAGCAACGTCGCCGTTTTTAACGTCGCCTACGTTGGACTGGAGGCGGACATTGGTTTTGTACAGAAAGTAACCAGCGGGCTAGCTTGGCTAACAGTAGCTCATTTAAGGCGCTAACATGCTGTGGTAGTTTTGCTGCGCTCCAAGTCGTCACCCTCTGCTGCTTTGCTCCAGCAGACTAACGGCTCAGTGGCTAGCTGTTACTGGGCATTGTGCGGTATGTAGCCATGGCATGCTAACCATCCTCCGGGAAAGTTGGTGAATGCTAACAACGTTACAGTCAGCGTTAGCGGGCAGGGCAGTTTGGGCTCCTTTATATATGAAGAATTGTAGATTTAGCATTGTTGTGGTGAACATGCAGTGGTATTTTGCTTAAGCTGACGACAGGGCCTTGCAGATTACTGTTTTCTATATTGTGTTAGCTGTTGTGTTGCGTGATTTGGTAATATTTTCCTCCCAACATGTAAGGCTAACAAAGTTTGGGGATCAATAATGTAACCTTACTGAGCTGGGTGGCCATTTTAAGTTAATGATTTAGGGACAGGCTGCATTATCTATCAAAAACAAAAATGAACAACTCAGGAGTCATGCCACAAGAAAAGATGGAGCTGGATCTGGAAATCCCATCCTCCTTAGTTCAGACCGATGGACAGCTGAGAAGATCCAACAGTGCACCCATGATAAATGGCTTAAGGTTCAACAAGAGTTACAATAATTTACTGCAAAATCAGAAATCATTGACTGTTGTTGTTGTTTTTATGCAGATATTGAAGTAACTACTTTGTGTCCTGGATTAAAGATGCATAATCTAAAAACTGTGCTTTCTCTTTTGCAGTGATCACTCTCAGGTGTTCCACAGAGAGGTTCTGCGTAATCGGAGGAACAGCACTACGGTTGTCAACAGGCCCACCATGGTACAGTGCTCTATTAACCACATCAACTCAGTTATTTTGAACTCTGAATTCATTGATTTTAATCATCTCCACGCTCATTCTCCTTTACAGGTCCCTTCATCGCCTATTCGCGTCCCCAGCACCAGACTTCATCAGATAAAACAGGTAAGAAACGGAGCCGCTGTTTAGAAATGTTTAACCCTGAAAGTGAGCATGTCAGACCACTGTTTCCCTCTCAAGCCATAGGGAGTGACGGTGTCTTTAAAAAACATGCAAGAGCGACATGCTTTGGAGTTCACAGGGCCATCGATCTTACAGAGTTGATCAATTGGTAGTATCAGACTCCTACAGAGGAAATGATTGCTCTGCTGGTTGAAGTTCACTGGTGTCTTACACAATGTATGGAATTCAGAAAAGCTGGAAAACGAGGTCGTAGCCAATATTACTTTCTAACCATCGATTTTATTGTGTGGTCTTGCAGGAGGAGGGTGTCGGTGTGATGAACAGAGAAACTGCTCATGAGCGGTGAGTATACATACAGCCGGTGGATGAAGAGATTTGATTGAATCGTTGCTTGATTGTAGGTGAAACTGACCGAAACTCATCCTTGGTTTTGTGTTTTTTGCACTCACAGGGAAGTTCAAGCTGCTATGCAAATGAGCCAGTCTTGGGAAGAAAGCCTCAGTCTGGTAAGAACCACTCCCCACTACTGTCTGTCCTACCCCCATCACCGCTGTTGTTGTGTTCTATTGTTCTGCATCCTTGGAAGTCGTTACCTTCCCATTGCATGTTTTGGCCCTGGGCCTCTCTTGGCCTCTCTCTTTCTATAGAGTGGACAAGCACAAACATGCTAGATTAACAAATGGGAGTTAACAGGGCCGCCAGTCCTTCAAGGTCAGGCTGAGTTGGTAGTATAATACTCCCACATTTGCTGCGTTTTGATGATTTGTCCTGCTTCATTACCATTACTGTACCATGAAAATGACTTTCAGTGTGTTCTGTTCATGCTGTGTTCGTAGAGTGACAATGATCTGGAGAAGTCTGCATCTTCGTCTCCAAAGCGGATCGACTTTGTGCCTGTGTCGCCTGCCCCGTCCCCCACGAGAGGAATCGGAAAAAAGGTACGTCGGACCTCACTGTGGTCAGATGCACCCTATATAACCTCACTGTAACCTTACTGGTGGCTTTCTCTAAACTAGATTATTACTGGAAGTATTTTTTTTGCAGCCTACAAAGGCAAGACATTTATTTTTTAGCTTTTTGAACAACTTAGTTTCTTTCAGTTTGCAGCTTTAAAATGAATCTTTTTGTCCTTTTTTAAATAGAATTAATCTTTACATTCCTAATATGCTGCAAATTTGGGAAGTAAAGTCATTCAAACCATTGATAAATACGCTGCCAGCTGTAAATGCAGGATTAGTTTCAACATTAATCGTAGGGAGGCACCGTTTCAGTGTCTGGTATCAGTCTGATACTCTTCTCATATTCATAAAATTACTACGATACAACCACACATTTACAGAAAAGCCAACTGGTCTGTGTTACCTCATCTGAAAGAGTAACGGCACCAACATTCAAAAAGTCCTCTGTGCAGGAAAAGCCCTCCAACCATTTCGTAACTAACACTGCAGCAGCAAGACGAAGAGTCACCATCTGTAAAAATAGATCTGATGTGGTGTGTTCCTCTTAAGAACCAGCTGTTATGAGTTGTAGATAATTCAGGGTTTTGTTATCTTCTCAGTGGACTCGAGCCTACAAACAAGATTGCCAGTCGTCCCCATTTCACACATTCTGTACCACCTCAGCTGTATCACTTGAAACTGATCATTGGAGCAGCAGTTTCAGCCCAGTGTCTCTGATCACTGTGACGCTGCAGTGCGTTGATAAGGATTTTGCTCTTCACTTTCACTAGAGTTGCTCTGTGAAACTACTTTGTGTGAGCAAAGCAGTTTCAGGGTTCACAGGGTAGCCGAGCCATAGTAGGCGTGTTGGATGTTATAGCACCTCATTGTTAGAGCTGTTGTGTCTTTAAATGCTCGTCGTTACTCAGTATCAGCAGCTGAGAACCCAAATGTAAGTACTGGCACTTAGTCTGACAAAAGGTGCAATCGGTGCCGCCCTGATTGACTCTACGAAGACGACTTTGTTAGCATAACAGGAACAGTAGTCAAAGTTTTGCCTTCCATCCATCCATCCATTATCTATACATCGCTTAATCCTCACTAGGGTCGCGAGGGGCTGGAGCCTACCCCAGCCGACTCAGGGCGAAGGCAGGGGATGCCTTTGTCTTGTATCAGTTAAATGATTAATGCTAATTATTTCTTGCTGCTGATCATTACTATTTTACTTTATAACCATGTTTTCTGTTGTCTTTATTTTCCTTCTTTCAAGCAGCAGTGCTTCTCTCCTTCACTACAAATTCTTGTGAGCAGCAATGGTCTGACGCCCAGCCCAATCCCCAGCCCAACACGGCGCTTCAGGTGAGCACCGGGTCTTTGAGTATGAACAACAGTTAAAAATCTACAGATCTAATCTACAGTTTTTAATGCTCTTTTACAAAAATAACCCGTGTAGTTGTTTCAGTTTACATTATTTATTTTTTTTGCCAATATTAATTGCAGATAAATTAGTTTTTGTGAAGCCGAATATTTTATTGCATTAGCTATTTCAGATAGTTACAGGTAAATATAGCATCTTAACAAATGTAAAAATGACAGTTTCTTCAGGTTTAGCTGTAGCTCACGACCACTGGCTGTTGCTGTATTTCAAAATAAAACGCCTTGACAATGTGTGCTTTCTGTGTTCTTCAGCCGACGGAGTCAAAGCCCAATCAACTGCATCAGAGCCAGCATACTTGGCCCAATAAAACGCAAAGGTAAGATGTCCATGTGTCTTTATGATTGGAACCGATCTGTTGAAAACTGAAGGCAGCATGCTCAGACTTTCTACTTTACTTTCTGTGATCTCTAAATATTTCAATAGATAAATCATTTCAAATAGACGGGTCTGCAAACATCACCGCCTTTATACTTTAAAACCTGCAGATTAGTTGCAGAAATTTGGTCTTTAGAAAGTTTTCTAAATGCTGACTCCTTTCACTCGGCAGGTGAGATGGAGACGGAGAGCCAACCCAAGAGGCTCTTCCAGGGCACCACCACCATGCTGTCCTCGGATGCCTCCAACCTGTCAGATCTCAGTTCCTGGTAAGAAACTTTCACAACAACACGTCGTGTATCACACAGTTTAGATAATGATACTCCTGTGAATGCTGAGTTGGCGAGCAACCACACTGTAGATTTTAAAAAAGCAAAGCTTGATTAGCTTAATTAGATTTTAAGCCAAATCAAAACTGATTCAGTTACTCAAGGTGGGTTCGGCAATAAAAGCAATCAGCAGCTTTACAAGGTTTGTGAGGAACTCGAGATCCAGAATGAAGACTGAAAATTGTGAGAATTGTTTTATTTCCTCTTTGCCTACGTCTTCGGTCAGTGTTTAGAACAAACATGCCTTCAGTATGTTGAAAATGTTATCTTTTGCTGTAGATTATGAAGAAACCAGACTGTGTGCCAGGAAGTTAGAAAAGTGAATTAGCTAACAGGCTGTTTAGCTGTTTACCTACGTGGACAGTCACATCGTGTAAATGTGTAATTCGTTTAGAATCTCGTTTGGCTACTTTAACACATGCTAGCTGTGTAACATACAGAGAACGCTGTAGTGGTTTATAGGTCCTGTGCAAAATATCTTCACTCAACTCGCTCCTCTTTTTCTCTTTGTGTGTTATTAGTCCTGTTTTAGTGGCACCTCCATGCACATATTCTGTAAAATGGACGGTAGAAACTGATCAGCCTCTTATGAAGTTTCCATACATTCATAATGAAATGCATGTCTCTGCGTTAAACACCAGGATGCACAGTACTTCTACAGATTTGAAAGGAGGCGCAACAATACCACATCGACAATACAGCTCAACCTGGTGACTCTTCTTTTATCTGCAGGGCCGTGTTGTTTGCAGGATGTGCGTGACTATTTATTCATGCGGCTTCAGTTCAGAGTTGTGCCCTGTTAGAAGTGATACATAAAAGTCCAACCTTGTGAGATTGCCCTCATGACTTGTACAAAAAAAGAGACAAAGCCAACAAGTTCAGATCCCGTCAGATTAACAGAAAGAGGTCAAGTCAGCAGTGCTTTAAATTGAGTGAAGTGTTGTAACTTCAGTGGGGAGAAAGTGTGAGATTTTCCCACTTACTGAACAAACCTTTCCTCCTCTTTTCAGTCACTCTCCGGATCTACTGGACGGCAGCCTCAGCAGCGTCGGCTCCTCCACCGACTCTCCGGGCAAAATGGAGGGAGTGTCGCCCTCCTCGTCCAGCAACTCGCCCTTTGCTTCCCTCCAGGATTTGTCCCCAAAATGAGCGCGGGGGACGGCTAGAGACACTAAAACATTTTTACAGAGGGATGAACAAAGCCTCTCTCTCTTGGGAACCTTCTTCGACCCTTTCCTTCACCAAAACGTAGTTCTAAGTGGAGTTTGCTTCTGAACGGCTATTTTCATGGCAACGGAGGGTCTACATAGTTTTGAAATACGGAAACGAAAGCCATGGACGAGTTTGTGTGTAAAGAAGTAAGCCTAGTCAAACTGGGAATGACTGAAGACACTGTGAGCACCAGCTGCTATACGAGGATCTTGGATGGTGCTTGGCTTCGTAGTGATATTTTGTTTATAAGTGGCTATCCTGCAAATCTGTCCTACCAGTTCCCCCTCAGCAGAGAGGGACATCGAGCACTGGACACATTTAAAAAAACAAACAAAAAAAAAAGAATAATGGATGTGTACATTTCCCTGTTTTTGTGCTGGAAAACTTCTGTCCACAGGCCTTTGTATGTACACAGTCTGCAGATTTTGTAAGAAAAGATTTAACTTATTGTTTTTCCTGCTTTGTTTGTAATTATGTACATATTAACCTTGTCAGATGTCATACATAGTTTTAAGTTTTGGCTGTGAGGTGAATGTAGGCACAGGTCTTCAACAGCTTTCTTTGTAAAGGAACATAAATTACTTCTGGGGTACAACTATGGAGATTTCCTGTTATACTGTAAGAGAAGTTATGTTTTGAGCAGATATTCTGAATATTTTTATGATATAGGCTGTGAACTGTGGTGTTTTTTTTTTCCTCTCTCCAGTTTGGCTGTTTGACTTGCTGCAGTTTTAATTGCTCGGACGATTCACGCAGCGAGCAGTAAATCTTAAAACGAAATGAGATGGTCATTCCTGGTAGTCTTTCAACACTAAAGGTTCCTCTGTAATCCTGTGTTCTCGTCAGGATGATTTTTGTAGATATGAAAAAGTATAGAAAAAAAAAGATTACCTTTTTTTTTTTCTTCTTCTTCTGGCAAAGTTTTCTTATTTATGGAGAAAAAGTTTATTATAAAATTGGATGGTGATAGGTTTCTATCCCCAGTAAACCTTTTGTGTTGTCATTCACACCAAATCAACTGACTGCTGGAACGTTCAGCAACAAAAACTAAAAGGCACCATCGCATTGTGAGTAAAGAGACTGCTGTTTCTGCTGTGGTTTATTAAAATCCTTTTTGCTCAGGATGCCTAGTCCTGTAGTGTTTCAGCCTGTGTAAGTCTTAAGTAAGTAAAACTTGACTTTCTCTTAAAAACAAACACCCCCCAAAGAGTACAATATGTTGAGGTTACGCCTGCACTGTGATATTTGCACCAAAATTTGCTTCCTGTTGTCATGACCCCAGTGTCCATCTTCCACCCTGTGTAACTTCTGAACCCCTTTACGGCTCCGTAAACAGTGTATTTGTTCAAGAAGGAAGCGATTGTAAATCATGTTATGGAAGTGTGTCCTCTAATTTAAAGAAAGGTGTGGTTGCAGTTAATTTACTGAATGTCTTTTTTTCCTTTTTATACGAAGAAAATGGGGGAAAAAGCAGTCGACTTGCCCTGCTGTCAAGATTTTATTATTTTTTTCCCCAAAAAATTCTTATATTTTTTTTTCCCTCAGTCATCATCTGAAGTGTTCAGGGTAAGAATTTAGCAAATGATATAATGCTATAACTGTGTCTGTAATGGAAAGGCTGCAATCTGCCAAGCTGGCCAACACCTCGTCCATGCTTGTGTCTTCAGTGGTTGCCATCGTAGCGGACATCAGGATTAAATAAATTATTTCATTATTACGTCTGTGCAGCGCTGAGTTGTTTGTTTTTTTCTTAAGAGCACTAAAACTGATGTTAACTGTGCACTGACGCCCACAGCAGAATAGTGTCACTCCCAAACCTTATTTACAGCTCTGGAACCAACAGCTATGCAAGCAGTTACAAATCATGTTGTGTTTCGTTGTCAGATCTGATAACGTCAAGGCCCCTCAGGGAGACGGCTGGAATATTTTCAGTAACCATCACTGCGGAGCTAACAGAGGCCTTACTGTCGTGTTTTATGCTCTACACCCTCCTGACCCAGCTTGTAAAGTGTAAAAAAAAAAACTAAAATACCCAGAATCTATCTAGAAACATTATACAATACAGCTGTACTGAGACTTTATTAAACATTTGATGGAGCATTGATATAGTATGGCAAGCGAACCATTTTCTTCAAAAGAAGACGTTTCCTTTGGTGACATGTAGAAGTATCTTGCTGCTGAAAAAATAAAAGCCAATTCAGATAAAAGTATCTGCAAAAAAAACATGCAAATAACTGCATTTAGTCCTCAGTCTACGCTAAAAATGCTTCAAAAAACATTGATATAATGACGGTTACAGGTGAATACCATAACAAAATTTTAATGGCTTTATATATACATGTATCATGTTTGCATGTAGATTCCTTTACACTCAAGTTAACCATAATTCTGTCACATAATGGCAATAGAAATACAAACAGAGGCTGAACAACACTCAGCGGCCTCATGTTTTTTTTTGTTTTTTTTCACAGACAGCTCCATCACACAGCTCCCCCTGTTTGCATCAGTTCAGTATTGTGTATGTATGAACACAAAGGTGTGGATTTGAAAACAAGAATGCTAAAGTGAATTTTTTCAGAGGATGAGGTAATCGAATCGGAACCCCGACCCCCTGCTGTCAGCTCTACCCACTGAAGCGTAGTAGTGCCTCCGATGTGAGAATGTTCTCTTCGTCTTAAAGACGACTTTTCCTCCGCCTCTTCCTCGCGGCTCGCAGCACTTCATGTGCGTAGGATGACCATTGTAAGAAGACCTAAAGCATAGGGAAACACAACACAAAGCCACTGGATATAAGCTGCCGCACTTTCAAGAAAAGTGACAACCTCATTGTGTTGTAGCCAACAGCATGGGTTTGTGTGGTTATGATGATTTTTTTCTTACCAAGAACATAAGCAGCTACAAGTTTCTTGTTAACACTTAAGTGGAGGTAGACAGGCACAGTAGATTCTTGCTCCCCCAGCGTCGGGAGCATCAGGGCGGCCATACACACCAGCCCAAGCAGCACTGTCAGCAGACTGGGTCCTCCGGCGACTGGACGGCTCTCTGCTAATCACAAACACACATGCAAACGCTGCAATCAGACGTTTCACTCAGAATGTAAACTAGTGATTTAGCAACTCAAAAGGCTGACTTCTTCATTTGCTTGCATCTGAATCAGAGGGAGCATAGTTTAAAGAGCCCATATTATGCTGAAAGGGTTTCACAGCTGCTTTTCTATGCATGTAAAAGGGTTTCTCACTGCTCCTTACCTGCCTGACATGCTTTGTTTGAAATCCAGGCTTTTGTTTTGCTGCTTATTTACATCACCATGTAACACATTTACATAACGCCGGCTTAGCTACTACTTTGGCACGCCCTCAGACAAAGAATGAGCTGCTTCCTTGCAGGTCCTCACTAGAAACGCTTCTGCTAGAGCTACGACTCTCTGCCTACGCTCAGTTCTGGGTTTAAAGCACGTAACTACTGTTACCTTGCTTCCGTCGGGTCAGTCGACCAATCAGAACGGACTGAGTTTTTCGGGAGGAGTGCCTTAAAGAGACAGGAGCTAAAACGGAGCATTTCAAACAGAGTGTGAGAAGAGGTGCTGCAGCAGTGTACAGCATTAGAAAAAATATTGTGTTGTTATTGTTTTTTTTAACATGAAGGCATCTTAACATATTCTCGTAGACCCCAAAAATACATTTATAAACCTGGAAATGTGCATAATACGGGCCCTTTAAAAAATGTTGCAGCTGAACACCCCAACACTTAACGACACCTGGGCACAATTAAGAATAAAAAATGTATGCTGCAAAATAACATTTTGGTCGTTTGGTATATTAGTAGATGTAGCAAGAGCATACGCATAAAATAAAGTTAACTGCAACCTGCGTACAATGAGGCTTATGCTTTAAATGATAAATGAAAATGGCAGCCAGTGGGGCAAACCTTATGCATCATGCATTTAATCTACATGACAGTGTAAATAGAAGGTTCATGTTGATCTATTGCCTCTTCACCTTATTTTAATGATGTTAAACTTCTCAGGCACTACAACTATATTCCACTTCATTTAGGTTCAACAAGTCCCCTTACATTCAAACAGCTGTAATTCTGCAGCTTTCACCTATTTGGCCAAAACACATCCGCCACAAACAGTACTTTCATTACAACCAGAAATAAATCAAGCCAGTGTTTATCCTCTGTGGATCAGTGCACCGTACAGACAACAACAATATTAATATATGTACGATAATCTAAGAAAAATATCAGCAAAACTAGATACAGAGACACCGACCGACACTGAGACAAGGTCAAGTATCAGAGGGTGGATATAACCTCCATATTATTTCACTATGTGAGCCTAGAATTTATTTTTATACCAAATGAGACAAGTAACAGTTAGCATTCAATAATGTAATTATAAAGTCCCACTAGATGGGAACAGGTTGACTTTTATGATCATTTGGCTCCACCTAGTGGTAAAATCACACAACAGCGCTTCATCCTACCTGTCTGAAACGCAGTCTGCTCAAAGAACTCGCTGTCTGCAAACTGCTCTTTGATTCTGCGTTCCTCATCTTGGGGTCGGGGGCTCGGCGGCTCCTGCGAGGCCGAAGGACGGAGCGTCGCCGTCACCTCTTTGCGTCCCAGAGCTTTCCGCTGACTCTGTTCCGACACCTGCAGCCGGAACTTGTCGTACACCCCATAATGGCATGCCCGCACATCTCTGTGTCTGATTACTCTGTGTGGACACAGAGAGGGAGACAGACTCTTTGGTTAACCACGTGGGAGAGTTCGCTGCAAACAACCATCTCGCTCACAACATATAATCAAAACTGCCAAACAAACCCACAAGTTAAGATTTACAAAGGTAGGCAATAAACAGTGATTACACAGGCAGGAACTGACCAAAACCAACGGCCTTACACACAAAGTAAACTCACATGTCAACACAACACTGTGGCTTGACAGCTCCGGTGGCGTCCACCACAGTGTATTTGTTTGGCGCCGTGCACAGCACTGAGAAAGAAGAAAACAGATTATCTTGATGATCTGGAATGCAGTGATTTAAGTTTATATGGGATCAGAAATAGATTTTTTCTCTGCTCACTGACCTTTAAACTTGAGGGCGAACTCATAGGGATTGTAGAGGGTGAGCACCTGCTTGTGAGACGACTGCTCATCTGCGTAGAAGACGAGCTCAGTGGGGAACACGAACACTGGAAGGCTTCCTTCCACCAGCTCAGGCTGTCGATGCTGCTGCTGCATTGGCTCCAGCTGAGCTCAGCCCCTTCCCCGTCCACGGTCTGCCTGGGCCCCCCACTCTTCTCTAGCGACTATCAAGCTGTGTAAACTCCCTTCAGATGGAAATGGCACTTCCCGCTCTCAGCTCCTTAGGGCCATGATGTGATACTGTGGAGAGATGCAGGTAATGAAAAACCATAAACATTTACGCAGGAGGCACCAACTTACAGTGTATTCACACTTCAACATTTTATTCCTCTGCACTTTATGAAGAGACACTGCATTTTTATGTCATTTATTGTAGTTTGTAGTAACTAATAAAGCTTGTAAGATGCACTGCCAGAGTTTAGACTAAAACCGAACTGATGAGGGGTTGACTGATGCGTTTTTTTCAGGATTAACAGTTAACTCTCACAACCGATATTTGCAGTAAAAGTAAAAACTCCCACACAAAACCTTGTTGAAATGCCTTTGTTTTTATGTTTTATGTCCTCTAGTATAGACATGACATGTAGATAATCAGATAATGATGCGGGTGGGACGCTGCTCAATACCAAAGTAATAACTACAGACAGAACCAAAGTAACACTTTTTAATTTAAATTTACTTTAGCAGAAATCTGTTAAAAAAGAGAAAAATATGCTGATAATCTGAAAAATGCTAAATATTTGATTTGATAATCATCCAAACTAACAATTGGATCAGTTTCTTCAAGACAATACCAATATTGCTATCAGGACAGCAACTAACAATTATGTCTATTTATAAAAAAAAATCTGTTGATTAGCGTTTTGACTAATCAATTAATTGCTTAATCTACAAAAGTTTAGAAAATGGTCAACAGTACATCTTTAAAATATACTGTTTTGGGCTGCTGCTTTAGCTCACCTGGTTGAGCTGGTGACCCATCTACAGGGGCTATTGTCTCTGAAACAGAGGCCATGGATTCGAATCCTGCTCATGGCCCTTTGCTGCAACCCCTTCCCCCATTCTCCTCCCCCACTTTCCTGTCTCTCTTTCAACTGTCCTATGTAACAAAGGCAAAGAGGCCAAAAAAAAAAAACTTAAAAAAAAAATATAGTTTTGTCCACAACTCAAAAATATATCGTTCACTTTTATAGAGGTTAAAAGAAACCAGAAAATATTCAAATTTAAGAAGCTGGAATCACTAAATTTGGACTAATTTTTTTTTTTTTTTAAAGCCATTCAAACTAGGGATTGACCAATTACCGACCTGGCTGATTATTTTATCCAGTATTCAGTATTTTTTAATGAGTTTTGCTGTTCTTTAAAAAAAAAAAAAATTGATTTTTGATCAAATTAATAAATTAAAAAATGCTGTACGCCTCTATCTGTAATCACCAATCTGTGGACAACGTTCCTCCCACACCACTATCTGACTGGTTACACGTCATTGGTAACAGCCTATTAATACCTCTGTGCAATAACACACTATTTATTACACTGAATACTTAGATAGGAAATTCACATTTTACATTTTATGTCTCTACTTTTTCTACTCATGTTCATATTGTTTAGGACATACTTTATACTTATGTTTATCTGTATATTTTTTATACTGTTTATATTTCTAGACTTCAAACGAGCACATGTAACACAAGCAATTTCTCCTTGGCCATTAATAAAGTATTTCTGATTCTAAAAATACTGAAAGAAAACTTTTTTTCCCCCCAAGACATTTCAACAAGGTTATGTGTTGTAGTTTGTGTTCATTTTGGCTTTAAGATTCCAATTTTTACTGCTAATATACCAAATATCAATTATTGGTCTACTTGATTACCATTAATTGATTAAAAAACAACAACAAAAACAAAAACAGTCAGGCTCATCTCTACTTCTAACCTATTAATCGAGCACCAAATGAGTATAACTAGTATATTAGTATAACTAGTTAACAACTCACTGATTAATCAATCATATGTTGCAGTTAAAAGTGATTATAGAAAAACAGCAGTGTCGAGATCGTTTCCACAACACCTCAATGGCGTTTCAGTTTTAGACTTTCTTTGTATTTATGGACCCATACTCCTGTATGTACCACAACTTAGTATACATGCATGATTACAACAGGTAAAACGTTAAAGAATATCTATTGGAACGTTTTTTTTATATCCAAACGAGCAAAATTTACAGAAGAGAAATTCAAAACTGTTTAATTTAAGAAACTTGCTTAAGTTTAAAGAAGTCCAACTCGACGAAACAGAAACGCCATGTGGCTGGTCACGTGTCCCCGTGTGTTTACATGGTTACGAAGAGCTCGAGGAGCGAAACTCGTTGGTGTCGCAACACTTATTGTTCTCCGAGCAACGTTGGACGCAAAAAATTACTGCAAACTCACTGCCTCAGCAACAAAGTTTTAGTGAAGTAGCTTTTCATTACGTGAGGTATCCATCGTTATTGTCACGATAAAGTTAACTACCTGGCTTTGTATTCGATCCTAGACGGTGTAGCTTGACTGTTAACTACCTTTAAACTGCACCGCAATCGTAGGTAACAACGTAAACAGACGCAAGAAAACAGGTTTATATGGAAGTGTTTGTCGTTAACACAATAACACGAACAATTAGCTGACTTGTACAATACAAATTAGTAAATAACCCATGTATTTACGTTGTATTTGGTTGTTCTGCCACAGTAATAACACATCTTTAGCATGAATGCTAACTCTGTACAATACAGCTGGCTAGCGTTAGCCGGCTAGCAAAACCCCAGCTGGTAGCTGATAGCCACTTATCGCTGTACAAACGCAGTGTCATTACAGGAAACCAGGCGCCCGTTTGTTTTCATTTCAGCAGAAACGCGTTGGTGAGACTTTACCTCGTTGTCAGCATACGGGCGGGTGAAACGTTAGAGCTGTACCCGGGTTCAGTGCTTCTGCTCCCACCCTGTTGTTGTTGCTCCTCTGCCTTTTTTCTTTGTGAATAATTACACTGCAGACCTCGCGGTGCATTCTGGGACGGCGGAGGGCGAGAGGCGACGTACGTGCGGACGTAAGATGTTCCACCAGCATGCGGAGCAGCCAACATGTTTGTGATGACTCCATAACACTCTGAGTGGAATAAACAGGAGGGTTTCAAACTTGGTATAAACTATGAAGCAACAATAAATCTGCTTAATACTTAGACTTTGATTTTTCCTAAATGTAATTAAGCCATGTTAACACGCTAATCGTATAAAATAGGTCAAAATTGCACTTAAATACACACTTAATATGGTTATAAATGCATTGTTTTTAAGTTTTGTTTACAGGGATTTGTCACTTTCCACAGAAAAAAAACCCAAAAAAACTTCAGACTGTGGTTGAATTACAGAATGTAGTTCCTTTATTGTCATCATACAGCCTACAGTGAAATTAAGCAACAATCCTGCAAGGGCATTCACACAAACACATTTTTTAACCTCTTAAAACCCGAGCTCTTGTTTGATATGCATTTTTTTCCTCTTTGCTATTTGATGACATCAATTTGCTATTTGATGTGATAAAATAACAAAGACAATGAAAAAAATAAAATAAAATAAAAATTATTTTTTTAAATGTAAAAAATAATACAAATTAAATAACAATAAAATAATAAAAATAATAAAATAATTTTGAAAAATTTATAAAATTAACTACTGTGGTAATATAACCCAAAATGTGATGTCCACGCATGCCAACGCCAGGTCTTAAGAGGTTAGGTACAGTGATAAACATGCAAATATCAATTCAAAAATATTGTTAAAATAGTATGTACAAGTATGGAAACACTGTTGTAGCTTATTGTTGTAAGAATCAACACTATAGGACAGATATGTGACTGATATTGCACTTCGGGAAAATGCACACTGTAGAGAATTTATGAAAGTACAATGGCTTAGTGTGCAAAAAGTACAAATAAGGTGTAATTGTGTGTATACATATGAATGGGATCAGAATATAATCAGGCAGATAAGAAGAAGGTGTATGTAGCAGGAAAAAAAAGAAAAAAAAACTAACAAAAAATCCATGTTTAAGTCATTCACATCCAGCCAGAGTTTAGTTCTCTGAAACTGAGGCTGTTTTTGAGACTTGATGGACCTGAAGTGTCTACCAGAGAGCAATGCAAAGTGGAATAACAAGGAGTTCTTTTGGAGGCCTACACCACAGCAGACAAATCTGTCCAATGAAGAACCTGTTTTAAACTTGCTCCAGGTTATGTGTCTAGACTTAGCTGCTATGACTTTCCTCTGACCTTTAAATCTATCTCCTGATATAAAGTGTGACCTTATTATAAATTTAGGTTTGCAGTTTAATATGTGATCTCACGGTCAGTGTTGAAAGGACACATCCAGCACACCCTTTTCTGTAACACGATAAACTTTCAGATTTATTAAAATCATGGCCAAACTAAACTGAAAAGATGTCACTTTTTATGATTTTGTGGCCTGAGGCGAGAATTACTATCCCACTGTCTCCTGCTGTATTATTTCTACTTCAGCTTTTGCTTCTAACATAAAAATGCATTTTGTCTTGATCTGCCTTTGAAGCACAAAATCCATGTGCTGTGACAATGCCTCAATCAATCACTAAGTCAGACTTTATATTGTATTAAATAGCACTTTTCATACTAATGAAATGTAAGACAAAGTGCTTTACAGATGAAAGGAAACAATACAAATACCACCCACC